AAAACGGAAAAAATGATAGTCATGCCGGCCCAGCATCCTCAACGTTGAAAAATGCCCCGGCCCGAAGTGGTTAAAAAGCTTTTCAGCCACTTTGAATTGACATCCTGTACGGAACACACACAGGATGAAATAGAAGGGGGAATTACCTCAAAAGGTCAAATTGGCACTTTTGGAAAAAAAAAATCAAGAGTCAGGGAGCAGCTCAAAAGTCAGAAGATTAAGGCTTTCTAACTTTCCTAAAGTAGTGTTCAGGTGGGATTAAGGAACATTGCTACTTTCAAGATGCTCCCTTACACTTGCTTCCCATTGCCCCCATTTTTCCACCCCCTACTTCTCCAGGAAAGGACTCCGAAGCCCTAAAGCCAGCCTCAGAGTGTACCCCCATTGAGTACCCTAAGCCAGATAATGAGGTCACCTTTGACCTACTGAGCTCGGTGGCATTGAGCGGGACCAACCATGAGAGTGACCAGCCGGCCCACCTCACCCTCATGAACGACTCCGTCCCAGTGGACCGCAACTTGGGGACATATGATGGGCCTGAGGGGAGATTCTGCCCGGCAGGTTGGAATTTTGACTTAGCACAAAGTTGGCCGCATCATTTGTTTCTTTAGTAGAGCCATATTACAACAGTTTCTTTCACAGAGAAATATTGTGTGCGTGTGCACCCTTGGATACAGTCTTTTCTGGGAAGAGGTGTTGGCTCTGAGAAGAGCCAATGATAAGAAATGTCTCATATTTGGAATGTTGTGCTTTGGTCATATTCAGGTAATCGCTTCTCATAGCCAACACTACTTCCCCCGAAGAGATTGGATCGATACTGTACCCGAAAACAATAGATGTCCCATGTAAAGTAACCCAGCCATGCATAGCTTAATCAAACCACGTTTTTTTTCTTGTCTTACCGTTTTTCACGATTTCCATCCAGGCGTGTATGAGTACGTCCCCACAGAGGACGGGGAACACATGAGGCTACAGATAAACGCGGCCAACTGCGTCCACTGCAAGACGTGCGACATCAAAGACCCAAGTCAGAATATAAACTGGGTTGTACCAGAGGCTGGTGGGGGGCCAGCATACAGCGGAATGTAAACAAGAGTATTCCGATAGCAATACTTAATAATTCCAGAAAGACCCTTCAAAGAGATGGAGATATTAGGTTATTGGAAACTAGGAGTGATGGGAGGTTGGGAACAAGACCAGAATAGTTGTAGCATTAAGGCTGTTTGAATTGTCTGGCTACGGCTAGGAATAACACATTCGTCTATGGGAAATAGATGTAGCCTCCAGCTGGCAGCTGCTATAAATGCATGCATTTATTCCTAGCCATATCCTGGTGATCTGAAGAAAGTGTAACACTAGCGTTGAGAGGCGTCTTGTGACATCACATGGAGATTTTTTTATTAATTTACAAGGACATTTTGGTATGGTTGGTGTCTAGTTTCAGAGACTGTCAGAAGTGTATGGTTTGATGACGGGGCAAGGTTGGCAGTTTGTCAGGAAATCTTCTTACATGATTTTTTATCTCCTCTTCAACGAGTGCATCTTAGACCTAACTCAAAATCACTTGATGACGAGAAAAGCAAGAACAATGCAAATTTTTCTTAAATACACTGAATTATCTGGATTGTAATTAAAGTTATTTAAGGATTGCTTGATTCATGTTGAGTAACTCTTATCTCAGTTGCCTCTCTACAGGTCCGTTTTAAAATGTGGTGGTGTTTCAACTTCTTATCAGGTTGCACAAAACAGGTCTCATTCAAAACATGCATGAAATGAGGATTACAATTTGACTAGGATACTCTCAACTTGGCAAATTCTCCAAGTCCAATTTAACTTGTGCATGTCTCAGTAAATAAATCTGCTGGATTTTTTTTTTTTTTTCAGTACTAATTCCTGTGGTAAACGAATAGCCCCCTTTTCCCGTTGTCGTCAATCCTAACCCTTGGAGGTGCCCCTGTAATATGTATATCAAGCATCGGAATCCAGTTGTAAATTTACGAATCATTCACCAATTTCAACAAATCATTATTTTTAGTGAGTGGTAATTCCCCATGGAAGTGGAAGCAATGCAAGGTCAGTCGCAGGCAATACTCTGGCAACTTCATTGGTCAGGGGCAAGGTGCAGTGAATTCAGCCAAGATTGGTACTCCAAAGAGGCCACTGTTGGGGTTATTTCTGCTGGACATTGGCCAAATTGAAGCCACACATACATTGAAGTACTGCTGAAAGATCCTGTGTCATTTACATATGTACAGGAACACACAAATTGTATCTACGGCCATTCTCCAAATAAATCTGTAAAAAATCAATGGTGTCTGTTTTTTTCCCCTACAAAGCAAAGTTTGTACAAATGAGTTTTCTTAATTCTTGTGCAGTTCATTGCAAGCGCACAGGTAAACCTACTATTTGTAATGCATTTAAAGGTCAATCTTATGGTTTGTAAAATGATATTGGACAGCATGTGCTGTTCATTAAAGTAAGCACAACACGGAACAAATGGTCGATTCACAGTCAGAGTGTAATGTTTACCTGCTCTTTTATTTAGCTTTTTAACCCTCACAACATTAGTTACATTTTACAAAACGGCCGTTGACGTTGAACCCCTTCCTTCAAAAGTGTGCAGTTTTTTGCACTGCCTTATGCGATGAACTTGTACGGGATGGGTTCTACAAGCTGTGGCTCGTTCTTCTTGGTGCTCACAAAGTGAGCCGAGCGCGGTTGCTCTGGCTGCAAAAGAGAAGACAAGTACACCTATCACAAATGTGGTATCAGAGGAATTCCATTTGAAGTTGCAATATGTCAATGTTACGCTCACCCTTGCGCAACATAAGCTGCACATGATCTGCCAAAAGGTTCCCGAGGGCCAACAACAGGTATGCTTTGCCCAGTGTATTTGCTTACACATTCAACCAATGTCAACCAAAGCCCCTGGCATTAACTTGTCCATTACATGAAGATTCTTGCACAGGACTGTAACACAGCTGAACCAGTACTTGTCTGAATTTGGCCCCAGCCCTGATGATGTCTATTCTTAGTGTCGATAACTAACTTGAGCTTGATCTCTGTTCAACATTTTGTCTTCACACATGAAACTGCCTTAAGATAGCACAGTACAATCAGCCTGTAATGGGATCTTCAGTATATGGGGGCTGGCAAGTCTGTGGTTTATCCAATAGCAGCTTCATCTTGAGGCTCATGAAATACGCTTTCCAAGTGGCGACCATCTGGCTCACTGCAGCTAGATTTGCTTCAGTGGTATGAGCTTCATATGAGGCCAGAGTCTAGAATATTTCCATTGGCTGCAATTTCAACAGAGCAGCTTAGTGGAAAATCCAAGGAAATCTACTTGTAAAGCAACACTCAGCAATACACCAGTCGCAAGAAACAGACGTACCTTGGTTTTTGGCTGGTAACCTATTTTCGCTCAGCAAATATGTTCTCTGCTTAACGAACTCCATAGCTCAGGAGCTCTAGGAAATAAGCCCCTAGTTCATGCAGTAAATGCTTAAAGCAGAGTGTAAGTCATGAGGTGCACATGTAGTCCAATAGAAAAGAAGCTAAGATTTAGGAAAAAAGCTGTGAGCTGAAAACGATCACTTGTCCTCGCAACCTTTACAGGGCACTGCTGGGAAAGTCAAATGCATGATGTTACCTTTGTCAAGCCATCACTGGATCACATTCATCTGAACAATGGCAAAGGTCAACACTTCCACGTGCAGTGCACGACACGAGCGCGCAAAATGTGCAAGCAAAGATTAGGACCGCAAGGAACACACAATGCTTGGCGCATCAACATTTTGTGAAAAGCATTCCCAGTACCCTGTAAGGGCAACGGGGACAAGCACACTGAAAGCGCAGACTACCAACCTGTCTCTTGAGGGCGCCTCTCTCCAGCTTGATCCCTTTCTCCTTGGCCTCCCTCCTCAGCTCCTCGTTCCTCTTCACACGCATCAGGAAGTCGTCCCGGCACTTGGAAGGGCGCACGTGCTGGATGCGGACGTTGATGCGTTTTGGGATGATGCGGTTGCTAGAAATTGAACGTTCAAATGTTAAGTCATTATCCACTACACAGTAGCTCAAACGGCACTGGCCCACGAAACAACTTTTAAGGTAGCATCTCTGATCCATTTTGGGGGTACCTACCCGACCTGCTTGTTGACAATGACTCCCACAGCGTGAGGTGTGACGTTGAAGACACGCCCCGTTCGGCCATGGTAGCTCTTGTGAGGCATGCCTTTCTGGAAGGCACCACAACCCTGGCAGAACAAGCAGAGAGATGAAACAGAACTAAGTACATGTATATAAATTGTTCGGTAAACCAACAAAATTTATCAAGTCACTACCCACAAGGCCAACTAACTATGGAATCTGGGGTAGCCAGCCACGACAGGATTTAGGAATGGCAGTGTCCAATGGGACTACCTCCTACTGTCTGAAGCCAACAAAGGCTAATTGCCAAATGGCAAGAGTCCATGGGAACAGCTTCTGCACTTTGCTCCATCTGGCAGAGTCAGAGTTTGTCCAGTTATGACTGCTGAACTTGTTTTCAGCAGGTGGGTGGTGTGAATCGTTTCCAGCCACTCAGAGATTCACCTGGTTCTTTGAAACATTTTACTGTAACTGCATTCCTCCAACCAAAACAGGGACGTATACCATATTAGACTTGATCTCACTCCAAGAATCGAAACTGTTCCTCAGAGACATACATGCTCTCAAAAGAAGGGGCATCCTGAAATGTTTTTTAGGTTATCAATTAATGGGGAGTTTATTTGTACATGCTCCAGACATGATAACAAGATGGTAAATTAAAAGTTTCCCCAATGTGGAATGTGGCCATCACTTCGTTAGTCATGCCAACCTTGATGTCCACGTAGTCGCCTCTCTTGTAAACGTGGAGGAAAGTCGATAAAGGCTCAACACCCTTCTTGCGGAAGGCCCGTGCAAACATGTACCGCGTACCGCGGCGGTAACCTGTTGTGTTTGTCTTTACCATGATGACGCCTGATGAAGAAAATGATTTGGAAGTGATTACTGTATTCCATGCAAAATACAAGTGATATTACAATAATTATAATGACGATTTATAGAGGACACAGATCCACCATGGTGCTCAAGGCGCTAATACCTTGAATTTAATAATAACATTCACCCTTAAACGCCTTCACCCACGCATGAGCTGGCAGTCATGGCAGTGAGCAGTTTAGGACTGGGTAAACAGGAACTAGCCGTCGCATCTGAACTCCTGGTGCAGTATTTGCATAATGTGAGGTCACGGTTTAGGGGTAATAAACTTGACGTCATGATGATTTGAGCTGTCAACGTCAATGTGCACGAATGTATGAGGTTCACAAATTAGCTGCAACTTTCTCGATAAGTAGGAGGAGGTAAGGCCATGAGAACGAAAATTTTAGATTTGCATCCACCGCCCGCATGGTCCAAAACACCCTGCTGAAAAAGTTTATTATTTCCAAAAAAATTCGTTATTTTCAGAAAAATGCAGGAATAAAAAATCCATTTCAAATCCTAAATCATACAGCAGTAAAAGGGTCCAAAATGCGTACATCTATGCATACCTACTTACTACACGAACGATCTAATTCTATAAGACTGTAATATGCGCAGGCGTAAAGCACTGTCCTGGTCCGGCTGGGGAATACATGAACATATGTAAGTATCCCCTGAGCACGGACATTACTGTATATGTACAAGCAATCCCGTTAGCACTGCGAGGCCATGCAGCTTCCGTCCCGTTGCGTGTCGACTTGCATTGGCTGGCCGCGAGTATACAGAACACTGCATCCAATCAAAACTTGTTCTGTTTGACAACTTGATGACCTCATTTGCCTTATGGGGCAGCGCAGGCATCCGGGAGTTTCACAAAAATGCGGGTAGCAACCACACAGTACTGATGAAAACAACTGCAACGAGCGCAGCCGTTTGTACAGATCAAAGAAAAGATTGTATAACCCCATCCTCGGACTGGCTGGTACGTGCGTACGTCACCAAGGTCGCTGTTTTCACCGGAGTACTACCTGTCATTTTGCAAGAATCCCTGATGTCCACGCTGCCCCATATGGAACGTGAGGTTGTGGCTACTTGGGGCTGGCATGCCAATTATTGAACTGAATATGCATTAAGCTCAGTTGAATGTAGGGAGAATTTAGCAGTGTCATGTACCAGGGAATGCGGTATGTTGCTGTTGATCTTTTGTGAATTCTTACTACATACTTTACATATTCATCGCACTTGGCCACTCCGCGCTCCGCACACCGTCAAATAATGAATAACGAAAAAAGCCTCATATTTTTCCAAAATATTCCGGCAGTCCGGGCGCAAATCTGAAACTTCCATTCTCATGGCCTAAGAATACGTAGCGAAGGATTGATTTAGAAGCAGAGAGTGTGGGCTATGGTGTACATTGAGCAATTCCGATTGTGAAAATGTTTTCATTTCGAAGTGCTTGAAAAAGACAACAAAAATTCGGTATATGAGCATGTGGCTGTACGGGAGCGCAGCATACCGTAGGCCACATTAATGGGCTAGGCACAACCATGATAATGTTACGTCCCAACTATAGTTGGGCCCGTCCCAACTAGAGTGCTACAGTTGGGCCGGCCCAACTACAGCAGAAAGGTCCTGTGTGCATGATGTGCCCAGCAAGTGCCAAAGTCATATTGTTTACAAATGTCATGTCATTGGTCATAGGGCTGGATGAACAGATGAAGTGCCGCATTTTAGATGAATTGTGTCAAGTGTGAGACACACTGACTTGGATAATGATGAGACATTTGCCACAGATATTGGTCAACAATAGTTGGATCAGCCAAACTGCAGTACTACAGTTAGGACTGTCCCAACTATAGGTGGGACTGATGCTATAGTTGGGGCGTAACAATACGGTCGTACTAGTTAATGTCAACACAACTTCAACACGCGTCAACACATGATAGTAAAGTCAACACACCCAAATCATGTTCTAAGTTAACAGAAATGCAATTCGATAGCACTATAATGCCTAAAATACAATTTGGCTAACAACAGAGGGCAACATTTGGGGGAAAAGCCATTTTATTTCACGAAAATAACACCCCGCACAGCCATAAAAGACGGTAGCCATGTTGCCTCTCGATCTCGGTCAGACGGACCATACCATTACGCTACAGGGGGTCACCTTTATACAGTAAACTATGGTACGGTCCAAACGCCGTAAGAAGGCAAGATGGCGGCAAACGGCGGCACTGCTCAGAGACAATTTTTCGCAAGAAAAAACTCCCTTGAAATGTAGTAAAATGTAAACTCGACTGAATAGAAATTATTCCAAAGCGTATACATTACAGTTCGATACGTCTGTTTTCAATGCATTTTGTAAGTGTTGACGGTGTGTTGACGTTACTATCAATGTGTTGACGCGTGTTGACGGTGTTTTGACGCTGATTAGTACGACCCTAACCATGCTCACAATAACATTGGCATGGTTCCGTTGGCCGGCCCATGTTCAACAATGTTGGCACATTGCTGCATAAGTTACGAGTTTCTGGAGACATTTTACTGCGATAAAAGCACTAAATAAATTCATAACTCCATTAATAACGAAAGAAACTATAAAGTATTGCTCTATCAATAAGCAGTCATAATACGGACAGCTGAATCATTCATAAAATGACGATAAAGCTTGGGCATGTTTCCTTTCCCACCTCGCGTGAAATGGCCGACAAGTAAGAGGATTCTCGCCCCCACGTGATATTCTCACGCTCACGCGAGAAACCACGTTGATAGCGTAGGGTCATTGACCTAGTGAGGTGAACTATAGTCTGGCTTCGGATGAAATTTTCCATCCAATCACATGCGTGGAATGCCGTAAAGCATCGGAGTCAATTGAGACAGCTACCTGACTGAAGTTTACACGGGCGGTCGAGAATGTGATGTACTCGACGTCGAATGAGGGTATTGTTTCCCATTTTTAAGATGGTGAGAATCTTTTGCTTTTTGTTCTGAGTGGAACATGATGTAGCCAGTTTATCTATAACTACCTCCATGGTATGTTTTCTTAAATTTTATTTTATGATCTACCCAAGCAAGAAAGAAATGTTGACGCCGGCTGTTCTCTGTTATAATCTGATAATGCTGCATCATCTGATCATGATCAGTTTTCTACTTACGTACTACTAGCCTAATAAGTTAACGTAACGGCAGGCCTAGTTGGCAATTGCCAACACTTTTGCCATGTTTGTCGACATTTCAAACCAGTACTTGCTGTCGCTTTCGTCTCGAAAATGTTGAAGAACTTTTCCTCCACAAGACAAGACTTGTTAGTTTGTCTTCCAGCAGTCTGAAGTTCCTGTAAATAACCCCAGCCTGCCAGGCACACGGGATCAGGTCAACTCGGACCCAAACCAACTCAGACCCATTCCAATTCGGACCCATGCCAACTCGCACCCAGGACCAACTCGGACCCACGCCAACTCAGACCCAATGCTAACTCGGACCCACGACCATCTCGGACCCACAACCAACTCGG